AATCTATATGCTGAAATTTACAAAATACTGATAAAAGAAATCAAAGACCTAAATAAATGGAAATGCATGGTTGGCAGGACGCCCCCACGCCCTAAATCTCTGGAACCTGTTATGTTACCTTACTTAGCAAAACGAATTTTACAAATATGATTAAGATTAAAGACTTTAAAATAGGGAGATTATACTGGATATCCAGATGGGCCCAATCTAATAATACGAGACCTTAAAAACAGAGAACTTTGCCTGGTTAAAGTCAGAGAGATGCAGCAGAAGGATAAACCAGAGAAATCTGAAGCAAGAAAAGAACTCAATAGGCCTTTGATATTTAAAGATAAATGTAGCAACATGTCAAGAAATGCAGTCGACCTTAGAGAGCTGAGAGAGACTCCCAGCTGACAGCCAGTAAGGAAGTAAGAACCTCAGGCCCACAACCACAGGAAGTGAAATTCTGCCAACAACCTTGGAAGTGTATTTTTCCCTAGAGCCTCCAGAAACAAACACAGCCTTGCTGACACTTTGATTTTAGCCTTGTAAGACCCTAAAAAGAGAACCAGCTAAGCCACACTGAACCTGGACTTCTGACTCACAGAAACTGTGATATAATAAATGAATGTTGTTTTAAGCCACTGAGTTTCTGGTAATTTATTACAGTGGTAATAGAAAATAATACAAGAGACATATAACATTCATGGATTGAAAAATTCCACATAGAAAAGATGTCAATCTCCCCCAAATTAATTGACAAATTTAATGAAATTCTAATCACAAATCCAAGATTTGTTTATAAATATAGACCAGCTGATTCTAAAATTTACATGGAAGGAGAAATGCCTTAAACACTGAAAACTGTTTTGAAAAAGAAGAATAAAGTTGTAGGAATCACACTACAAACAACCCAATTTTAAAATGTCAAAAGTCTTAAAGAGACACAACCAAAAAGGATATTCAGAAGGCAAATCAACACATGAAAAGATGTTCAACATCATTAGCCATGAGGGTAATAAAAATTAAAACCACAAAATTAGATACTACTACACAGCTTTCAGAATAACTAAAGTAAGAAACACTGACAAGACCAAATACTGAATAGAACACAGAGCAACTGGAACTCTCCTACTACTGGGACTACAAAACGGCACAGCCTCTCTGCAAAACAATTTGGCAGTTTCTTATAAAGTTAAGCATACACTTACAATTGGATCTAGCAATCCCACTCCTAGGTATTTACCCAAGAGCAATGGAAACTTATGCTCACACAAAAACCTGTACATGAATAGCAGCTCTATTATTAATTGCCAAAAACTAGAACCAACTCAAATGTCCTTCAACAGACAAATAGATAAACAAACTCTGGTACCTCCAAAAAACAGACCACTTTTTGTCAATACAAAACAATGAGCTGTTGATAAACACAATTTGGATGAATCTCAAAGGCATTACACTAAGTGAAAAGAGCCAGTCTCGATAGGTTACCGGCTGTCCAATTCTATACAAATGACATTCCCCAAAAGACAAAACTAGAGTGACAGAGAACAGAGCAGGGACTGAGGTAGTAGGAGGATACAACTGTAAAGGGAAAGCACAAGAGGGTCACTTGGGAGGCAGAACAGTTCTGTCTCCTGATTGGGGCAGTGATTAAATGAGTCTATACATGAGTTCTTATTCAAAGAGCTGTGCTTCAGAAAAAGTCAATTTTATTGTATGTTAATTAGCAATATATTTTTTAAGTGGCATTATTTTTCTTTTTTAAATTCAGTACATGTGTGTGGTGATGGGTTGTAATTACTATTTTGGTGGTGAACATGATGTAATCTATGCAGAAATAGAAGTACAATGATGTACACCTGAAATTTTTACAATGTTATAAACCAATGTTATTGCAATAAACAAAAAATTTAAAAAAAAAGTGAACAACAAAAAAAAAACAAAAACAGCTCCACGAATGATTTGTGAACACTTTTAGACAGTTTAAATAAATGAAAGCTGTTTTAACCTAAATATGGTTTCTATTTTCAACATTCACTTTGAAAATAACACAGTCCTGTCGTTAAGTACGGAATGTTCCAGAAAAGTCTAGCAGTAGAGGCACATAGAGAGATCAATGAACTGTCCCAACTTTCAGCACGTCAAGCCAGTGTTGGTAACCTCGATACAACAGCAGAGTCAAAGTTCACACCAGAAAACATCAGCACACTCCTCTTAGATATTGCCTTCCCCTTTCTCACTAAATAGCTTCAAAGTGTTTGGAACTCTGAGAGGTCATATATAACATAATATACCACCTGCCATCTTTAGGAGCTTGGAATAGAATGCGAGCAGATTGATTTCCTTTTGTTCTTTAATATTTTGAATAACAACACGCTCTGTGGGGTGAGGGAAGAAATATCATCATTAAGACTCATCCTTCACAAGAAAGAACTAGAACTAGGTTTTCAGTGGGATAAAGGTGAAAGAGAACCTTAGAAAGAGCACTGAACTTGCAGTTCTAAGTTTGACTGTTTGATCTTGGACAGCCTGAGAGAAGAAGAGAGGAATATTCACAGCAACCACTTAGAGCCATAACCTGGTCACTGTCTCGATGACTAATTTAAGACTGACACACAAAGCATCCATGGACACCTCTTAAGGAGGGCGAGAAGAGTATTCCATTGTACCCTATCCCTAGTGGGTGGACAATCTGATGACTAGGTATTCTGTACTTAGAGATACTGAGGTGGGAGTTTTGCATGGGGGTGACAGAAACTAATAGCTACCTCATCGCTTTGTTGGGAAGACTGTACTTGATAATTCCTGTAGAGTGATTAGCACTGTCCAGGAACATAAATAGCTCTCAGAAGGTGCTGGTTATCATCAGCTCTTATTAAATGAGATAAAATATGTGAAACACTTGAGAAACTGTGGAATAGCAGACAAATGTGAGCTACCATTAACATCATTTACAAAGAAGAGCCCAAGTGACTTGGTTCAAGTTGACCATTGACCACTGGGCAAAACTTGCCATGTCCTACTCTCTGTGTGTACTAGGTCCAAGTTTAGTGCTTGGTTCCTCAAATATTTCAGAGAAGACAGTTGCGGTTATAAGTCCAGCCTCTGTAACTTACAGAAAAGCCAAGATTGTTACAATACGCTCTATGATGAATCCTGAACTTGGAGACAACGTGGTCCAGGATTCTCTAGTCCTGGGACCCCTCATTTTTAATGGACATAAAAACCTCTGCCCTGACTATCTCATAGCGCGGTTGTAGAGGATCAAATGATGTCACATGTGGAAGGACACTTTTAATTATAAAGTGCTATGCTAACATTAAAGTGTTATGACATTCTTTTTTATTACGAAATAAGCTGGACTTTTTTGTCTTGTTTTCTTTAAATTTGAAAGAATCCGAAAGGGTGGAGATCTTAAAGTCAAAAAGAAAACATGTTATAAATTGCTTAATTCAAATCAAAACCTGGATTATCTCTGGTGATATTGGCAGGGAGGGGCAAGAGTGAGGCTTCTAAGGTGGGGTAATGTTCTTTTCTTAGTCAGGTGATGTTTACGTGATGATGCATTTGTAAAAATTCATCAGTTTGTACACAATATTTATGTACTCTACTGTTAATATGTTATACTTCTGTAAATTATGGAAAAACTTGTGCTTGATTGAAGTTAAGGGTGGTTTAAAACAACAAGGAGAGGTTAGAGAAAGGAACAGGATAACACTATAACCTTTTAAATCAAGAAAGCAGCTTTAAATCCAAATAGAATGTGACAGGGAGTCACCTCAGGGAGCTTCAAGGCTGGAAGAAGAATATTTATAATAAATGCACCTACCATTCCTTCTAATTCACTCAACGCATATTTATCAAGCTCTAGACACAGTCTGAGGGAGAAGGAGGGAAGGAAAATGCCCCTGTCCTCGTGGAGCTTGCAGTCCTGAGGCATATAAACACCCAGAGCACAGTGCTGCAGCAGAGCATTCCACAGTGTGGAAGAGTATAGAGGAGGGAGCAGCTCGCTGGGGAAACGTGATGTCGTTTGAAGTTCAAGTAGGGAATTAGGTGAAATTATAACCACTACAGACACAAAACATTCACATCAACTTATGGACTAAGATCATCACCTCCAGGTTAGAAAATTCATTACTTTTCCCAGCATAGAAAAGCTTCTGAGTCATCTGAGGTTTTCTCCTCTTAAATTTCATATAACTACATTGCCACTAATAACCTTTCTAATTCCAAGGGTTGGTGTGAATATCACGGTCCTGTCTATGAGGCTCTCAAGAGAAAGGCATCTTCTACACACAGTTAGAAAGGCCACGAGTAACAAAACTGTGGCCAAGTTTTCATAGATTTCTCCATAAAGACTGTACGCACCAGCTTCTGAGTCTACAGAATTGAATTTGGCTCAAATCAAGAAGTATTTATTGAGCCCCTATTTCATACACTTTAATAGAAACTGTGCAATATACAGAAATAAACACACAGTTCTTAGAATCACGGATCTCACAGTTTGGGAGCAAAGTCAAACTTAAAAACACAATAAAAACACAGAAAAAAAAAGTAGCAAAAAGAACAAATAAACAGTCAAGAACAATACAATCGCACCAAAATGCATGATGAAAACTATCAGAGCCCATAGTGAGCATTCTGCCAAAGGACTATGCGGTCAACTGATTTTGAAAAGTAACGTCACATATCTCTTTCTTGGAGAGTCACAATACATGTTAGCATTTTAAAGCCTTGGGTAATCTACCAAGTAAATGGTGGTTGACTTGTTTTAACACAGCATTTACCAAAGTTATTTAACCATGAACCCCTTTTGAATGCATTATACCTCTTAGGGTTCCTTCAGAAAGACTGATAATAGAGAGTGAAAGCTCTAATTAGGGAAAGGAGAGCCCAAGCCTTAATTCCTGAATCCATAAGATGCAGATGCCCTTCAAAATCACCCAACTCCCCTTGAAACTAAACTAGCTACCAGGGAAAGGAAATGAATCCGAACTTTCCCGAAGCCTCACCTTCCCTCTGCAGACTTTCTGGGTTCTCTCTTATCTTGCTGCTGGCCAGAAGTAAACTATGCCTTTTCTAAAAACTCTAGGCAGGTATCTGTACCTCCCTTAGAGCCCTGAGAAATTTCTCTCCTGATCTCTTTTATTTAGGTTTTTCTCTTTTCATCTCCCTTTTTGGACTAGGACTCCAAGTTTGTGTCCACTGTATATAGTCCACTGCTGTTACACAATAAACACATATTAATACAGGGCAGCTGCTGAGTAGTAGAAAGAACATCTTCCTAGGACACAGTCAACCTCTGTTCTAGTTTGCTGTTGGTCACTTTTTAACTGTGTGCCCTTGGATAATTTACTTAACCCCTGTGGACCTTGGTATCTTTATCAATAACAAAGGATAACAAATATTTATTTCATAGGCTGCAATAAGGATCAAATTAGATAATATTTATGAAAAAGCTTCATGAATGGTGAAGTGTGATACAAATATGAGGGGGTGATGCTTTTATTTTACACACGTGTTCACACGCACACTAGATTCTTTAGCAAGGCTCAAGGCCATCCAGAGGATGCAGTCCCCTCCAGGGGCGAGTCTAAAGAGATGTCACTGTGAGTTCTGTGACTCTCATCAAAATCCACTGCCTAAATGTGAACTTGTCTTCAGAAATTAGACTTGAATAGATCTAAGCCATCCCTGGTCTCACAACACAGTCAGTTGTCCTGTCACAAGAGCACTTCCCCATGTCATCCTCCTGCTTCTGTCAGAAAAAAATGATTGGCTTGCTAAAGATCATTCATCATAGACTAGAGCTTCACCTGCCCTCGTGTTCAGGGACCTGAAAGCTTCAGTAGCTTCAGCTACTCAAACAGTACCCAGGGGGGCCTCATTCTCAATTACACAGAGAAACAGGGTGAGTCCCAAGTCCTATTCCCGACTCGCATTATTTAGCTTATTAGTGACTTTGCTCATGCAGTTTATTGTCTTGGTGTCTCAGTTTCCACAACTAGTTTTATTAAGGAGAGTTAAAGGCAAAAGTTAAATTAGGACTTTCACAGAAGATTTACCATGTACCAGAACAATATTGTGTCAATTGTGAGAAAGCACAGGGGCTTCAGGACAGCCTCTACCTTCAGGCATTCTGCCTACTAGAGAACACTGCCCATTAGGCATCCTCCCCATCCCCATCCCCCCTTCTTTTCCCTGAAATGCAGAGAAAATGTTCTAAGTCTTCATGGGAATCCACGGAAGCCAAAGCTAGAGAGCCTTAAAGAAAATATCATCTCTCTGTATCTAAAGTGTTAAAGAAAATCCCCTTATGAACTAACACTGAGGAGGCCTGTGTGAGTCTGTGTCCCTGTTGAGAAAATTCTATGGCTTCTTTCACTGATTTTTGGACACCAGGATCATCCTGACAGATGGCAATGTGCACCCACCAGTCCCATAGTCTGGGATGTGACCTCAGTCCACCAGATCACTCTGGATGGAGAGAAGAGTTGGGGGGCTCTGGCCATGGTTCTTTACATATGCATTTAACATTTGGTGACTTTATTGCAAATAAAGTAAGACCATGCATTCCCCCTTTCGTCAAAATGAGAATGAGCTGAAATTTTATAGTGCTATTATCTACTGATCCATAAACTACTGAAGACTCAAGTGACCCTAATTTCAACAAGTACACTTTATCTTCACCATACAGCTATTTAGAAAAAATCTGCCCTCACAGAGAGGTGCTCAAGCAGTGCTGAATATGAGGTTTTAAAATTCTTTGACAAGAAAATTGAGCAGGAGGGCAGAACATACACTAAAAAAAAAAAAAAATATATATATATATATAGATATATATATATATATATATACACACACACACATTGACAGAGTACAAGCAGAGCTTCTATGACTGTATCATAAGCTTTGCAGGGGCATTTTTCCCCAATGCAAACTAATAAACAGTAACTGTGTACCTACTATGTGAACCCTCTATGCTAATGCTAAAGGATGAAACAGATTTTAACATAACCCAGGCATGCAGAAACTCACAACCTAGCAGAGATCTCCAGTATACATGTTGCTAATTACAACCTTGTCATCAAAATCCCATTCTTTTAGTTAAATATTCCAATCCCCGGCTGTGCCACTTAATGCCTGTAGAATATTGGGTGAGTTACTTAATCTGTCTGTGCCTTAGTTCCCTCAATTGTAAAATGGGGAGGATAACATATGTTTGTTGACAGAATTATACGAGTTAACATATATAAAATGCCTAAAAGAATATTTGCTATTATTATTTCTTTAACTGTACAAAGCAGTTTAGCTGTGTTTGCTCAGGCTATTATTAAGCGTACAAATCAGTCCAAGCAACATGCTCTAAGGAAGGAATTACTTGCATTTTAATGGGGGGGAAGGGGTTGGGTCAGGGAGACTCCTTGAACGAGACGGCATTACAGCTGGACTCTGAAGACAGATAACACGTGGAAATGCAGGCATGCATAGGAGGAAGGGCATTTAGGGCAAAATTAAAATAAAATAAGTCTTACTTTTTACCACTGAGCATAGAACAGGAAGGCAAACTTGTGGAAAAAAATCTAATTAGATGAATGTTATCTTGCAGTTATAAAGTCCCTAAAACCATGGACTAGGAATGGCGATTAGAAATAGGAATTTTATGCGGCACATCATTTCAAGGGTATCCACTCCACGGAGCCACTCATCATATCAATGCACGGTTACCACATTCTGCCCTAGGTAGCAGCACTAGTGATTACAGGAGTTAACAGGACATTACCCAAGCAATGGGGCCATAAAAAGCATGTCCGATTATGCCGACAACGCCAGTTCAAGAATGGAAGGCTTTTTCATTAGCACAAAAAATATTTTTAAAACACTTTGCCACTCACAAAGTTTTTTTCACATATATATATTCCTTTACACCTTTGAAAACTGTCAGGAGTTTGGTATCTGATATCAATCCCATTTTACAGAAAAAGTATTGATTTCCCCAAAGTTCCACAGATAATAAATGAGGAAACCAGTGTTCAAACTCAGATTTTTTTTTTTGCAGGGAAAGATTTGCCCTGAGCTAACATCTGTTGCCAATCTTCCTCTCTTTTTTGTTTTCCTCCCCAAAGCCCCAGTACATGGTTGTATATCCTAGTTGTAAGTCTTTCTAGTTCTTCCACGTGAGCCAACACCACAGCATGGCAACTGAAAGATGAGGGTGTGGTTCTGGGACTGGGAAATGAACCCGGGCCACTGAAGCAGTGAGAGCGCCTGAACTTCAACCACTAGGCCATCAGGGCTGGCTCATCAAACTCAGATATCTTGACCCCAAATCTCATGATCTTTCTACAGTATGCTCCCTCTCTGCTCTGGTTGTCATTATTTTAAATGTTTGTGTTAGAGACATGAGCCTACAGAAACACTATTTTCTACTGGATTCTGAATGTTTACCTTCTGCTTAGCAAACAATTTCAGCATTCGTCGTGTCCTAAAGAAAATCCCATGTTGCTTGGTGCCATTGATCTGTAGCTGTCTCCAACAAAAGGACCTGAATGCCTGCGTGACCCTGGGAATTTTAAATAAGAAGTCAATGAGAGATGCTGGTAAGTGGTTCTGTAATTGTCTAGGGGCGGATAAAACCTTGGTGGAATAATAATCATATCAATGTGCTGGCTACACGAATGATCCTGCAGTGAATTACAACAGGGTACTTCAACTCTGAAGCCTAGGGTGGCACATCTGCACAATTAATCTCACTCTGCAATAACCCCGCAGGGTCAGCAAGATCGGCATTCTGCAGCCGAAATTAATATCTTACTATTTCAGTCCCTTTGGTGTTCTTCAGATTCAGGAAAATAATATCAGATGTTGCAGCTCTGTTGACACAGAGACAGGGTTTTAAAGGGTCGCCAAGTTACAAAAAAATCCTCACGTAAATCCTGGTAGGTAGACAGAGGATAAATTCAATACATAGTCCTAATATAGCTACTAAATTTAAAGCTCTTGATATTTTTTTAATTTTTATTCTTGGATTAACTCAGATCCTCCGAAGGCCACATATTGAGCCATGCTGTACAGCTGGGGCTTCTACAGAATAATTTTAAGAAATTACATTTTGGTATTGTGCCCCCATTTTAGAGAAACCTTAGGTTATTAATATTAGATGAAAATTAGGTTAAAAAGTTCTCTTTTTCTACAGATCTTCTCAGGGCCTTTAGCATGCTAATGCACACTGTGAAACTAAATTACTTAGGAATCATTTACAGGGCTCCTCAAACTTAATTGACTTTAGGAATCCTTGTTTAAAATATCTCCAAGCATTAGGATTCTTGGCAGGGTTTAGTAATGCTGACTGAAGTTCTTTCAGAAAAAAACGGGGTTTCATCTGTATAAGGCACCAGGCCATAGACCAAGCTTTGAGAAATTCTTGTAAATTCTCTCATGGGGCATATTGGAAAAAAACTCCTAGTGAGGTAAGGGTCATGAATTCTGAATTGGGGAAAAAAGTGGGAAATTCAAATAAATTTTCTAATTTACTAAGGTATCCCTGTGGCAAGCTGATGGAGAAACAACCGCATGATGACTAGCTAAAAGGAGACATAAGACATGCTGGTGGATTTAAGTATGGTAATGCTATGCTTGGCCAGCATAGCTAATTGGAGTTGATTATAATTTCACTTCTTCTAGCATTTTGGATGCTTAAAGACTGTTGCCAAATCAGAACAGAAGATATCATAGAGAAAGAGTTAGAAAAGAGGGGCGGTCGTATTTCTCCAATAAAAGGAGTCAGCATACATGAGGAGACCTGGCAAATAACCCTTTCACCTCTTTCACCTAACATATGCTAGAAAAATTAAAAGTGCTATTATTTTTAATTGGTCTGCCCTTCTCCGAAAAAGAGAAAGATAAGAAAATGCATGTATTCATGAGGCTGACCTAAAAACCAGTAGTTTTTTGTATGTAAATATTCTTTCCATTCACTGATGCATGAAAAGCAGACCAAAATCGTGTTCTCAAAAGGAGCAATGTTTACCACATCACAAACAAGAAGGCTGTAAAAGCTTAGGTAAATCTTGGGTGCCATGAGAACACCTGTAAAGGCTGGCTGATGACAAAGAC